AACTCAATTATATTGGCAAAAGATAAATAATATATTTCAAAAACACACTAAAAATTCAATGTCAATTTCTTTTGAAATAATAAATTGTTGCTGAAGACATTATAGCGATCTCAGATACTTCTGTTCCTCACAGGTACTGATGTTGCAAAACATTCTAGAAGAAATGTTTAGCTACAGTGCCTTTTCCCTCTTTGGCAATTTGCTATACAATAAGTTTGTGAATAATTGTGTGCTAGAAAAAGGTACCTGACATTGATTAGAATTTGGGGGATTTAGTTGTTGTTGTTGACAACTTACATGAAAATGTTCAATGATTTATAAAATTGTCCCAAAATAGAGGTTGATGGTGTTATCATTACTATTGCTACTACCACCATTGTATCTATTGCAGTGTGGGTGGGCATAACAATCTGTTGTTAAATTTGTTTATTTCTTCCCCATAAGAAAGAGAATACCGTACTTTGCCATGTATGATGCGCACTTTTTTGCCCAAATTTGTGAGGGAAAAACAAGGATGTGCGTTATCCATGGGTAGTACTAAAAAATTTAAATGAAAGATTTTTTACCCTGAAAGTTTGGGCCAAAAACGTGGGTGCACGTTGTACACAGCAAAATACGGTAACTAAGAATGAAGTCACCATGTTTGTTTATTTACACACACACACACACACACACACACACACACACACACACACACAGTTTTGGTTAATCTATCCAATAGTTCAGGCCAGTTGTAAATTTACTTTACAAATAAACTAAGGCTTTCTGATGGATGTAATGAGATCCAGTGTCTAACTAGTAAGTAGTTAACATTTTTCTCCCAAGGATTTCTTTATTTTCTCCCGTGGCGTTTCATCTTTTACTAACAGTATGAAACTTCCAACAACCCATGTAAAAATTGGCTTGCACCTGTAAGCAGCAGTCACACCAGGAAGACATGCTTGCCAATTTATGCTGGTAAACACATATGTCATTCTATGGGTTGATCATTAATAATCTGTCAATAGTTAGAATAATGTTAAGTGAGTATAAGAGCCCTTCTAAATAGATTGTTGCAGAATTATGCCAGTTATTTACATAAAGAAAACAACAATTACTCACATTGCAGTGTAGTTTCTAGAGTAAAACACCTCTGTGTACACACAACCAGCCAAATGAAAATGCAATGGCAAACACTTTAAAAATATGTTTTTAAAGTAAATTTGATTGCAGTTTTATAACGAGTCTTTAAATTATGGAGGTAAATACTAAAATATATGCTGTCTGAAATGTACCTAAATATAATATGAGAAGTGAGGGGAATTGGTGGGATTGTACATGAAAGAAGATAGGCCAAGAACTGATAGTTATTGAAGCATGATAATGAGTCTATTCATTATACCATTCTTTCCCCACTCATTCATGTTGGAAATTTTCTGTATTAAAATTCTAAAAATATAAAAAGAAAAAAGAAAATTAAAGACATTAGTCTTACACAGAAAGAACACCTTTTCCTCTGAGACTGCATTTATTCTGAATTGTTTTCAAAATACTCACGCTTCCACTTTTGGCATCATTCTCAGGGGAGGACTGTGCCTCTCATACTCACAGGTAATATTGCTCAACTTCCTTTCAGAACACCTACAACTTTACTGCATTTTACAAAATGCATCGTTTCCTCATTTCCAAATATCTAAGCAAAGGACCCCAACTGTGATCGTTCTCCTGTATTTTCAGCTCTTTCTCTGATGGCTCAGTCTTAATAAACATGCCCACACCTCCCTGACTGTCAAAGCAGACAGCCCGTCTTCTCTCTTCACTTCCCCGTCCAGCTATCTCCATCTCTCCCACCTCTCCTCCACAAGGAAACTCATTAAAAAATATCTACCGTGGCAGAGATTAGCAGCTGTCTCTCAATAGCCATTCTTCCTGTCTTCTTTAATATTAGGTCTGGGCCATGGAAAACAAAACATACTTCTTTGCCAACGGCACATAGTTGAAATGGTGCCTGCAATGACTTGGTAATATCTTTTAATTGAATAGACCACCCTTTCTTCTCTAGTGTCTCGGTCTGCCTGCTAGATGGGATGTGAACAAAATAATTGGTTTCCAACATCCATCTTGTATCACAATATGACTTTGGTAATGGAAGCAAGAGATGGTGAAACAATAAGATAGATTAACTTTCCAACACCTCAGGGGCCCCTGATGTATTTAAATCCAGTGCATCCAAATCCTTACCAACATCATTCCCCATGCCACTCCATGTGGCTTGCACACCTGCCATTTAACTGGTCCTCACTGACGTCGTCGATGACCCATCACTATACTTTCAACACTATTTGGCACTATTAAGCATGGTTTCCTATTGTCTGGTCCAACACTTTCCAACATTTTTTTCACATCATAGAACACATAGGAAATGATATTGTACTCACATTGGGGTCACAGTAACCACCCCAAGGGGTGCCTCTGAGCACCTCAGGCCCCACCTGGATTCTGAAGGCATAGAGATCAATAGCACGGTGAAACATGTAACCAGTCAATAGCATACTGTGTACAGTGGCACATCTTTGGGGTAATTCACTTCTACACACTTTAGTCTCTTCTTCTTTAAAAATTCTTCCTTATCATTCCAGAAATACTAATATTTTCTAGCGCTCTCCTGTAGTCCTTCACCTGGGGTTATTTCACCTATTCCTATGGCTTTAATTAAATATATATACACTGTTCACTGTCAAGCCTATATCTCATTTTTTTTTCCTGAGCACCAGACAGCAGAAATGCAGCAGCTTATACATTGTCATCGGAAGTCTTTCAGGCACTCAGATTAAATTTAATATCTTCACAGGTGTATCCGTCTTCTTCTTCTAAGCTCAGTGAGTGTCACCGCCACACACTTAGTTGTTTAAAGTAGAGCCCTCAAACATCAGTTTTTGACATAACCCTTTCCCTCTCCTTTCTGTCTCATATCCAATAAGTCAAAAAGAATCTGTTTCTTCTCTGGGAGCAGGCCAGACATCCACAGAGAACAATGAGATGGTGACTCGTGGTGAAATCGGTCATCGTGCCTTGTGTGTGAAGTATTTATAAACATTTTTCATCTGTGAAATGCTACATGATATTGACAGTAACGCAGGAAGGACATATGGTTTAGTGGAAACATAAAAAGATACGGGGTCAAAGTCATAAGTTAAAGTACAGCCGCGAGCGTACGCTAGGCCAGGTGACGCGAGCTGACCGTGTTTTCTCACCTCTGTACTTGTTCACACATTCACTGTGCAGTTACTGGGTCCCTGTGTGTCCGGAAATGTGCCATGTGTTTGGGATACAAAGGTCCAAAGATGAGTAAGACATTCCCTTTGCCTCAAAAAAGGAAGACAAACATGCAAAATAATTGCTTTAAAGCCTGCATCCTCCTTGGACACAATATTGCCCCCAAGGGTGCAGAATTTGTTTTTGTTTTTGAGCTGGGAAAAAAAAGCAAACAAACAAAAAACAATAAAAAAGCCTTTTTTTATGTGTAAAGCACAGATGGACTTGTAGTACTTAAATAGACAGATGGCAGAGCTGTAGTATCAACGGACTGCCTGTCCCCGCCTAAGCACCTTATCACTCATCACTCCATTGGTCCTACGCGACAAACCTATGAGATTTTTAGGTATTATTATTTCCATTTCACAGATGATAAATGGCTTGGAGATGTTCAATAACTTAATAGCTCTATTGACAGTATAAGTTCTGTAAATGCGGAGGTCTTGTCTGAAGGTCATTGTCCTAGCCCCAATAGAACAGTCCCTGCCCCTGAGAGGGGGTCCGAAAACGCCTGTTGAACAATGGATAACCTTTTGAGAGTTAAAAATGTGTGGCAAAGCCCAAGGCTCCATGATGTGTTAGATTCCAAATCCTGTTTTCATCATCTTTATGTTATTAGAGGTGTTAGTACACGAATTTAGAATGCATGGATGGGTCTCTGGATAGACAGATGGATAGAATGAACAGAAAGAGGAAGAAAGAAAGAAGAGAGAGAGAAATAAAGGTGGACAGTATCTTTTCTTTCTTTCTGTTAGAGTTAGCGTGAGAATTAACAAATTTATAAAAAAGAAAAAAAAAATCTATGGAGAATAACTCAATGCAAGGTACCTGACAGAAGTTTCATTAGCAAAAATAGAACATGTTCCCTCTGACTCTCCCATGCAGTAAATTCTTGGGTTTTTGTGTCTCAGAGTCAAACTGTTACCTGTTGCACTGCTCCCAGGACCAGCCTGGGGATGTCATGGTAAGCAGAAACACAGCTGCAACCTGGACAAACACTCTCTCGAACTCCTCAAAAGAAGATAAAGTAGCTGACTAATAATAACCAAAAGTACACATAAATGATAGGACTGTCTAGCTCTATAAGAAATACAATGGGCAAAGAGCTACTACTATAATTTTATTTTTTAATCAAAGCTTTTGAAGACTTTTTGTTTCTGTACCACGAGAAGCTAAATGAATTTTGTAGGAACATTTTGGGTCACCTGTGACTGGCACATTTAGCTCCTTACCAATACCTCACATGCATTTTATTCCAGGCCCAAGAATAAGGTGTGTGTGTGTGTGTGTGTGTGTGTGTGTGTGTGTGTGTGTGTGTGTGTGTGTAAGAGAGACATTGGAGCCAAACAGAACCAGGCAGAAATTTCAGCCATGCTGTTAACATGCTAACTAGCAAGTCACTTGCCTTAGTTTCCTTATCTCTAAAATGGAAGAGTTTCTGTCAAAATTAAAATGCAGCTAATTCATGCCACGTGTTCATCCCTGTGGCTAGAGAACTTAAGCAAATACTTACAACGTTTAACACTTTATTTTTATGATCACCATTATACTTTCCTGCAGGAGATTAAATCTGTGTCCCTGGTCCCTTCAAATTGCCCTGTGAAAGAAAAATGTGACCCTCAGCTTACTAAATGAGTGCCAACGCTACAACGACTAACGGCCAGAAATCACAAGTCCATTATCAGACAATATGTTAGAGAGCATACCATATCCCACTGTAGAAAGACCCAAGTGTTTCATTCTATTTTTCACAAGTTCAGCAAGCTCTTGTCTCTCTGACCTCCTGTAGAGGTTCAGTCGCTGCTGGGTTATTTTCTCAGCTGTTTTACCAGAGTGTCTGGGGCCTTTTCTGCTCAGCCTTCGGGCCCACTGCAGGCTCTTCTTTCTCAGCAGGGGATGGTCCGACTGGTCACTGGACGTGGAGTTGCGGTGGCTGCCTCGGTGGTGGCCATGTTCTTTGCAATCTTTGGTGTCTTCCCACTCTTCCACACTGATGGATATTTGAGACTTGAAAGGAAGCGGAGATTGACAGTTAGATATAGCAGGAGTTTTTGTAGCCGGGGGCTGTATCAATATTTTGCTAAGATCTTGGTATAATTATGTATGTCATGAGAGTTTTCACAGAAAGAGCAAAAGCGTGATCATCGATACTGCTTTTCGGCTACTGTGAATATTGTTAGAAAATACGTTTTCTGGAAACTACGTATGAACCAGACAAAACATCTTTGCATCCTCCAGTATGAGTTTTTATGAAAGGATTTAATGTTTCATGTTGCAGAGTTATCTTATCAAATGACTGTTAGCATAGAGTTGTTTGAAGCCACGAAAACAACTGGGTATTTCATAACTTGGTTCAAATGAAGTCCACAAAATGGACTTTTCTAAATCTACTACACGTATTTCACATGAAATTTCAATAAATATTATGAAAATTGTTTTAGTTTTGGAATTAATATTTAAAGGTTTTCAAGCTATTGCTCTTTCCAAAGATGACACTGCAATGATACTTTATCAAATGTGGATTTTTTTACTCCCCCCATATGACCTAGAAGAAAACAGAAAGTGCTTTTTAACTCATGCATTAATTATGCACCACATAAAATGTTTTCTGATTAAAATATTAAAACATATTTCAGGAACTGTCTTCCATTGTCAAGGGGAAAATATGTTGTAAATATTAATATTTCACAAATGTAGTCCAGAATCACAACTAAAACTTAAATCAGGCTATTCTCCGTAGGAGGGAAACACAATGAACAAACTCAGAAAGTCTATTTTGATTTACTATTTCACGACTAAATCTGATTTTAAAGTAAGACTCTCTCCTTTGATGGTAGGCCCTTCATAAATAAATGCTTCCTGTTTCAAAATCGGTGCTTTTCATACCAGGAAGTCATATGAACCATAATGCAGATCAAAGCAGAAAGTCTTACTCTCTAAAAGCATGCACATGCAAATGAAAACGTTTCCTGAACTTGACTGTAACTAGGGCAGCATTCGCGAATCTGCTTACTCTGTTACCCTTCTATGGATGGAAGTTTGAACTTCAGCTATAACATGCATATATGTTGCTGGCTTTCAAAGTAATAGAATTTAAATTACCAATTTAAGTAAGGTCAGGAGGTAGATCCAATAAATCCCTTTAAAAGTGAATATAAATTACGGAGGCTCAGTCAATGCCTTACATACAATACCTAGTGGCAAGCTATGAAATTATCTCACACTTAAATTCAATAGAAAATATAAATATTTATCCACCTTTTGGTTTCAAAAGAGTACTGTATCAGAGTGATATCAAAAATAATTTAACCTTCCTATCTTCATGATAAGAGAACTTTTCATTATTTTTTTTAGAAACCTTATTTTAGCTATAAGAATTTAAGTTGGAAGTATTAAAATTCTTAATACCATGGTTTTGCAATAGTGGATACCTTTATATGTCTTAACTTACTCTAGCCTCTACCTACTTGATATTATACTGAAAATCCTCTTCTGTGGAAGTAAAATACATTAACCCTTGAGTGATATCTACCATCAGTAAAGAATATTGGTCTTTGTTCAGACGTTTCAGTTTACATGTACTTTGCAGAAAAAATGAAAACAGGTTAGTTCATTCATATTTAGAATGGCTTATGGGGTCTTGTTAATTATAATCTTAAATTAATTTATTGTGATCTTTCTAGTCATAAGTCTCTGTGAGTAATAGTTTGATTTCCTACAAATATGTGAAATATTAATCTTGCTAGACCCAATACTCAAAACATTATGTTCATATAATGTTACTTATAATTCAAGTTATGAAACCATAAAGTATTTTAGGGGAAAAATGGAGATTTCCTTCTCTTCCAAGTAGGCGATGAAACACTATTTGTGAGGACTTTTTCTTAGTTGTGTATTCTGAGAATTATGTCAAGTATACATCAAAAACATGAACCAGAGCCTGTGTGTGTATTACCTAAATAATACTCAGTATTTCATTCATCCGTGTTTTGAGTTCCCCAAGGAAGGGAATGTCATGATTTATACAGAAAACCCATAAGAATCACAAGGCCTTTTTGTTAATAATTCAATAAAATGAGTAACATCTCTTTGTGTATTTCACTTGATAGAAAAAAGGAATTAGGATTTGGGGATTTGTTTTAATAAATCTAAACTGACAACACACAGTGTTCATGACATGCCTTTCTCCTATCCTTCCAATTTGACGCAATGAAAAGTACACAGTATTTTTATGTAGTAAGATACACAAATTTACATGCTATTCTACATATTTCCTAGCTCTGTCCCTACAAAAAAATGTTTAACCTCTGTGTAAAACGAGAATACCCATCTTCAACCTCATAAAAATGTTGTGTAAATTCATACAACACATTAATGTGTAAAGAAACATTTGCTGGCTGTCAACATCCAGATGGAGTGATAATATTAGTATGTCTTAGTAAGAATGATTGTCCACAGTATCAGTTACCCCAGTCATAACAGTTATTCTATTCCTGGGTACTAGATGTGTCGGTGTGTGTGTGTGTGTGTGTGTGTGAGTGTGTGTGTGCACGTGCACCTGTGTGCTTTAAAAGCGGTCCCTTTGTAAATACACTTTGCTGCTGCCATTGCATCACCTGGTTGTAACTCGTGTTCTGAACATGACGTCATGACCTAGTGGAAAGGGTCTTCTTTATCCTGCACTAAAGTCAGTGATATTGGTTAAAAGCAAGTGTCATGGCATCCTGCAGACCTGGGTTTAATGACAGGTTCTACCCCTACCAGGTCTGTGTTCCTGGTTATGATATTTAAACTCGAAGATGATAGCCATTTCCCTGTCTGAGAAGTCCTTCTTGTTGTGCTCTGTCCACAGTGTCAGGGGCCTCAGAGAGAACCCGTGGGAAGTGTAGACTGTACTGCCTGTCTCAGCACATGCTCAGTAAATACTAGTTAATATGATGGTCATAATCCTGCAGGAAAAAAAAAAACAGTAAAAGGGAGGAAAGAAAAGGAAGCAATGATGAAGGGTTGCATAAAAGTGACAAATGGGTATGGAACCGTCAGGGAATGGCTCGTATTTTTGGTGTACTTTTTCCTCTATCAGTGACTATATTTCACAAAAAGTCAAGATGCTATAAACAAATCCTTGAGGGGAAAGATTCCTTGGTTAAAGTTTTGTGAATCTGAAGAAGAGAGCAAGCACTTAGTGAAAGTGGAGATTTACTGTTCTGTAAATCTTCTCTGAGTTACCCCCACCATCTCCGTGAATCACAGAGGGACTCTGCTTTCACTTTCCTCTTATTGTCGGAAGCCTAATGTAATTACTAACTTAAAAAAATCAAGATTTCATACTAATGTTTGCGAGTGGAGAAAGATATTTGCATATTGTGATCTGATCTGAATGATTGTGTCTCCTCAAAACTCATATGCTGCAATCCTAACCCCCAAAAGTGATGGTGTAGAAGGCAGGGGTCTTCGAAAGGTGATTACGGCATGAGGGTGGAGCCCTCATGAATGGGCTTGGTGCCCTTATAAGAGAGGCCTCACAGAGCCCCCCAACCCCTGCCTCCAGGGGAGGGCACAAGAACTCTATGAACAAAAGAAGCCCTCGCCCCCTCCCCCCACCATGCTGTCACCCTGATCTCAAACTTCCAGCCTCCAGAACTGTGAGAATAAATCCGTTGTTTGTACACCACCCAGCCTGTGATATCCTGTTACAGCAGCCTGAATGAACTGACGTGCATATTTTATATGAGAGGCTTCTGGGAACATATTGATATAGTTCAATAAGGAAATGAAAAATTCATACGGCCACTCCAACAATTTTCATATAAATGTAAAACATTATCATTTTTTAAAATATTATTTTCCAAATATTTATCAAACTTAATATGGTTGGTAAAAAGACTGAAAATATTTTTTCACAAGAGCAAAAACTGAAAACTTTATAAATGAGGAAATGTTTTTTTATGCCTAAAATAGCTTAATTTACTTTCATTGTTTTCAGAAAGGTAGGTGTCAGATTCATAAAATATATCAAAGGTTCTTTTCCACACTACACACACCCAGAAGTGACTCAATTCAACGTTCTCTCAGTTTTTTATGGAACAGTTATTCATGTCATGGGTTATTGAGCCATGTGTGGAACAAAGTGGTATTTTAAAATAAATCAATTCACCCAGTGGCTTGAAAGTGAGTGTTTGTAATCTGGATTCATAACTCCCTTAAGAATAGTTTTATAGCCTTTATAATAGACTTAAACTGTATATCTGATTTATGATCAAAGACATTCTGAGTTGTTGCTGAGAAAACATGTGGATGTGCTTCTGATAGGTCAGAATCTAAGACTGGCCCAAATCTAAACTGATCTCACTATTAGCTTTTGGTTTGTAAAGAAGCTATCATAAAAAAATGGGTTTCTTTGCTTAACGAAATGGTTTGTTTTATGTCTAGAAATAACTAAATACAAAAGAATTTGCCTGTCTACATAAACTGTCATTTTGGGTATATATGTTTAGGTTTTTATGAATTATACATAATTATATATGTGTGTAGAGAATATTCTTGTACAACTGAATAGCTTTAAACTCCAAAACTGACGTACAAAAAAAGCAAAAAAAATCAACAAATAGAATAACATTGAATAACAGGTTTAACGTATGCACAAAGGTATTCAAATAGTTTACATTATTAGAATCATACTTTCATTGCCAGCTCTGTCATCTTCACAGCATAATTTTCACCTATCATTTTTCCAAATTACTGGAATTATAGCCTAAAGCAGTGGTTTCAACTGCGTATCTGTGTGCGTGCGTGTGTGTGTGTGTGTGTGTGTGTGTGTGTGTGTGTGCATGCATGCATGCAGGATAGGTCAGGGGAGCTATCATTCTAGCACCTCCAGCGTAGTATTACAGTCCAGAAGAAAGGACCTAAGCATATAAAGTTATGAAAAACTATTACAGTGATTCTAATATGAGTACAGTATCAATTCCATCATGCCAAAAACATTTTAAACACACACACACACA